TGATTCTGGTATATAGGAGCCTCTAGTTCCCATTGCCCTTTCATTCTCTAGCTGTGTGATGGAAAGGTTGACAGACTATAACTTTTATACATTTTTGCCTGATATTGAGTTGTGCTCTTATAGGGGTTTTTTTTCCCAACTTTTCCAACTATTTAATCTGATGAACTAAACTTAACATTTCCTTTACAAACTTTAATGAAATTACGTTACTGTCTTCCAACCAAGCCTAGCATAGGGAGCTGACTGACAGAGATAATGAAGTCAGACTTTTCTCACTAGAGTCTATATATTTATAGAGAATAAATCCTTTGGAAGCTAAGGAAAGATAACGGCATTGCTTTGTCAGGTGGTTTCCATTTCTGTTTATTTAAAGACAACTAATCTGGCCTAATCTATATGTAAAGTAGAAGAGACATGGAGCTAAACACTGGTTTTCTGGGTTCTGCATTTCATTGTTTTGTAATCCATTTGGATTTGAGATAAGAAGGCTATTTAGCATAGTTAATCATGTTTCATTGAGAACATTATGTCAGAAAAGTAACTGGATATGGATTAAAAATGCAGATAATTATCATTAATTGCCCAAAATTGATGATGCCATTTTTGAAAGGAATTGTAGGAAAGGAGACTTCAGACCTGAGAGATAATTTAGGACTTTTCTACACAGATAAATTGAATGTATACTGTAAAAAGGAGTTGGGACAGAGCAAAATGAGATTATTTATGAGGAGACTGAACAAATTAGACATGAGAGAGAATATAGTAAATGATAAATGGATGGTAAGAAAAAGGTAAATTAGACCTACCTTTAATACTGGGATAAATGAATATTTAATATGTTTGCAAGATAAAGGGTTAAAAAGAGTTGAAAGCAATCATTTGTGCATTTTTAAAGATTTTTTTTATCCCATCTTTATTGTTTCTTATAAATAACTCAAGGAAGCGAACATACTGAATACACCTTCTTCCTCTCCTTTTCCCAGCAACAACATCCCTGTGAGATGAGTTGGACTGAGAGACAATGATGTCCCAAATTCATCCAGCTGGCTTTCTTGCTTAAGGCAGGACTAGAACTCACAGTCTCCTGGTTTCAAGCCTGGTCCCTAACCACTACAGTATCTTTGCATCAAACCTGAGTTAAATTCTATAACTGAAGTTGTTTATTTGCCTATTCCGGTAAGATTCTTACTGAATTTTGTATAACCAAAGACATATTAAATCCTGCCATGACAGACATTTTGTGCTATATTTTCTGCACAAATCTAATGATCAACATTTTGTAATAACCTTTTGTAGAAATCAATTGGGTTTAACTTTGTGAAATTTCATTGGCTGAGATTTAAACAAAAGTTATTTACATATGACTCTCTGTTCTTTATTGAATAATATATGTATATTATAAATATACAAGTGGATTTGGAGTTCTACCATGTAATATGTAATGAAATAGGCAGGTATACTCCTATTGAATATCACCACATGGAAAATACACCGTTGCAGACTGTTGGGCAGAAAAGAAATCATTTCAGAAAATTAGCCATGTATGCAGTGGTTACTACTAATTTAGATTGAGGTACTTTCAAAATTGAAACAATCACTCACATAATGGCAATCATCACATCCTCTAATATAGTACCGGCATTTGCTAGTTCCTGTGGTATCTGTACAATATTTCTTTATGAAATGAAGTGAATTTTGGTTCTGAATGGAAGCTTTGATGTTGGAGGGGCAGTTAGTCTTTTTACAAATGTGAAACTGTGAATTACCTTCTGATTGCTGTAAAATATTTTGCAGTAATTTGCAATCAAGTTTTAAAATCAGTAGCAAGACCCTAGAATTGAAATAGCTGATATAAAATTGTATATAGTTAATATATATATTAAAAATGAATAGTCTAGTGTTATTATTCTCATAGGAAAAATGAGGGTAAAATAGGTTTTCTGTGGGACTATAATTTTGAAACTCCTAACAAATTAAATTAAACTGAAAGTGTATAAGAAATAAAAGTTAGAAATAAAAGTTTGTAGGGGGAGATAGCTTTTTCCTATCAGTTTTTAATCCAAACTTGGTACAGTCCTCTTAGTATAACTAATCATATTCAATTTCAAAAAGGACTGAAAATAGGCATTTGGCCCTTACCCTAATCTCTATGCATGAGATGCTGTTTTATAAAAGTCCTGGATATCTCAGAGTCTAAAGCTGTCTTTCATGCTTCCAGCTAAACTCCTGGAAGTTAGGAAGAACAGTGTGCAAGTCTGAATATACAGTTCATTCTATACTCATTTTGCACCTTTTTCACATTCAACTGAATGTCTGAATAGTGACCATATCTCTTCCTCTCATCTCCTCGCTTTAAACCAATTGGGACATTTCATGAAATCCTTGGGATCCTGCAGCTAGGAGCAGAAGAGCATCAGATAGCCATTTAACCCCCTCTTATCATTTGCTCATCATTAACTATAACCTCATCCCCCTCCACCACCACCCTCAAAGTCTCAGACTAGGAAGGAAAGATTTAAGAAAGAATGAATTCATCTCTCTCTTTACACACAACCCATTTTTTTCCTCAAACTCACAGCTTCCTAAGGCTGCTTTTCATTAGAAAAAAATTGAGATTTGCATCAGCATGTTACCTTTAATTTGGTCTTGATTCTGCTAGAACTGAATGTATTTATTTTAAAATAGACCAATTTGATCCAGCTAACAATAACACTTTATTATATTCTGAAGAAAAGATGAAAGTTCAATAGGCCTTCACGGTTGCTTTCCTGTGGCTATTGAATATCTGAAGGAAACCAATACCCTGGTAAGCCCTCTTCAGAATAACTTCTTTACAATATTGTTAGTTTATCTCTTCAGTTCTTTGCAAAAGGTTCCCGGTCAAGTTTTTCTGCATGCTGTGGATTTTGCAGTTTTCTGGTTTTAAAATAGATCTCAATATCACAGGCAAAACACAATATTATGTATGTATGTATGTATGTATGTATGTATGTATGTATGTATGTGGGGTGAAAACTATTTTTTTTCCTACCGGTTCTATGGGCGTGGCTTAATTAGTGGGCGTGGCTTGGTGGTAAGGTGACTGGGTGGCTGTGGCCAAGTCAATGTCACTTCTTTGCCCTTTTTTAACCTACAAAACACAACACAACACAACTGGCTCACCCACAATGTAAAAGCACCTGTGCTAGACTCAAAATGGCCCCGCAACAAGCAGGAACCTCACACAGCCACAAAAAGGCCAAAAAACCAACTTTCACACTTTACACACACACAACACAACACAACACAACTGGCTCACCCACAATGTAAAAGCAGCTGTGCTAGACCCAAAATGGTCCCTGCAACAAGCAGGAACCTCACACAGCCACAAAGCCCAAAAGCCCAAAAAAACCAACTTTCACACTTTACACACACAAAATTCCACATACAGCTTTGTGAGATTTTGTGTGTTTGTGTAGTTAGAGTGAAACACTACAGAAACACACTAAATCTCAGAAAGCTACACAACTATTATTTTATTTTATTTTATTTTTATATAAGAGCAGCTAAATTTAAAACTTCCTAAACTTTAAATGGCTAGGTCTAAAAAAAGAACAACTAAAAAAAAACCCCAATTAACTATTTTTTTTAAAGCTCCCAAAGGGGAAAAAAACTTACCCAATAGAACAGGGGTCTCCAACCTTGGCAACTTTAAGACTTGTGGACTTCAACTCCCAGAATTCCTCAGCCAGCTTTGCTGGGAGTCGAAGTCCACAAGTCTAGGCAGGAAGGCAGGCAGGCAGAAAGAGCTGCTCACTGATGAGCTTGATTGCAGGCAGGGAGATTCAGTTGCTTGCTGATGCATGGATTGCGATCGTCATGCGATCAGCAGCTAAGGTAAGCAAGCTGGAGGCTGGGAGAGCGGCGGAGAAAAAAAGAAACTTGGCGATTCAAGATGAGTTGCCTGATTAGTAGACAACTCAGCTGGGATGTCAGAGCTTGGCTGGTCAGAGCCATTTAAAATGAAAAAAAGGCTCTGATGATCGCGGGGCTCAGCTGGGCATGGGGGGCAGGGTCAGGAATTTTTGCTACCAGTTCTCCGAACTGCCCACCGCCATCGCTACCTACTCGCCCAAGCCGGTCCAAACCGGGAGCATTTCACCCCTGGTATGTATGTATGTATGTATGTATGTATGTATGTATGTATGTATGTATCAGGGGTGGGTTGTACTTACCTTTACTACCGGTTCTCAGTGCTCACGTGCGGGCACTCTTCTGCGCATGCGCAGAAGCATTTTGATGACGTCAAGGTCAGTGGGCAGAGTCTACTGCTGGTTTTACTACCGGTTCTATAGAACCAGTGTGAACTGGGGGCAACCCACCACTGGTATGTATGTATGTATGTACGTATGAATGTATGTATGTATGTGTTCATGGCACAATATATATTTTTTATATATTTCAATATTAAGTGCATAGCAAACACAATTTAGCATGCAACATATACAAGGGATTCTTTTCCTCCCAAATAATTTGTGTTGATATATCAATATTTGTATGGGTATTGTTTTTGTCCCTAGGGATCTTGCTTTCTTAATTTTTCAAATCCATTTTTCTTTTTAATCTGTCCCTCTAAAGTTATATTTATGACTCCAATCTATAATAAAATCAGTAGTTTTAGATTAAATTTATTATTATAGTTATATCCCCCACTGAGCCAGAGTGGCGCAGTGGTTAGAGTGCAGTACTGCAAGCTACTTCTGCTGACTGCCGACTGCCTGCAATTTGGCAGTTCAACTCTCACCAGGCTCAAGGGTGACTCAGCCTTTCATCCTTCCAAGGTGGGTAAAATGAGGACCCAAATTGTTGGGGGCAAAATGTAAAATGACTCTGTAAACCGCTTAGAGAGGGCTGTAAAGTCTACATGCTATTGCTATTGCTATTTTGTATTCTGTAAATATCCCTTTAACCTGTATGATTTATGGTGGTGTACTGTTTCTTCCTCCTACTTTTCCCACAACAATCTTTAGAAGTTGGCTGAGCTAAGCGAGAGAGACTGGCCCAAGGTCACCAGCCGGTTTTGTGCTCAAGAGAGGCTTAGAACCCATAGTGTCCCAATATCTCAACACTGAAAAGAAGAAAAAAAGAAAAATTTGCCACATTAAACATTTGCTTTAAAATAACAACATATAATGTCATTTGCAAAAAATAAAGTGTTATTTTAAATGTTATAAGATATGAAAGTATACCTTAGGAATGCTTAAAATAAAAACAAACAAAAAAACAAGCCCACAAAGAACAAAAACTAAAATAATAGCCATGTTGACATATCAAATAGGAAACCTTCCAAAATCCACATTAGGTAATGCTTTCTTTAGATCAATTTAAACTTTAATTTTTAATACCTGATTATAATTATTTTGTACATGTTCAGTTGCCCTAAGAATGACACTTCAGTCAGAGAAATCCCAAATGGTGAACAGTATTAAAATTTCAGTCACATAGAGGTGACCAAAACTGACAGCATGAAACCTCTGTCTTAGGCGGGGGAAAATAATCATTTTCTCCCACTCCAGGAGTTGAAGATGGATTGAAATAATAATCAGTACTCCTGGTGTGTACAAACATTGAATTTTTGTTTATAGCAAACAGGTTTTATAAGTTTGCTTATAAACATGACAAATATGTAAAGATAGACAGGGACTAGATAGTCTTTGTGATCCCTTTCAATGCTTTTGTCTTAGTATTCAAACATACACTGTTTAAACATAATTAATCTTACAAGTAGTGTATGTTATGTGAACATAGTAAACAGGTGCAACTAGGTTTAGGATTTAGTGGGTTGTACAAATCTAGCTTGCAAGTATACCAATCACTCAGGGAAAGGGGATTCTGTTCCATCCAAAAGTCTACTAAAGTGTGTGATTTTATAATAAAAATATGAAATATTTATGCAAATTATGTCAGTTTACACAATCAATATAAATTACCATTTTATACCAGTAAAAAGATGCCATTGTTAGTGCTTTATTGGGTGAGGATGATTTCTGGATCCAGATTTTGTCTGTTAAATCCAAAATTGGCTAATTGAGGTCTATTAAACAAAAGTTCCTGGCAAATAGATGAGAAAGAAATGGAGGTAGTGACAGATTTTATTTTCCTGGGCTCCAAGACCACTGCAAATGGGGACTGCAGCCATGAAATTAAAAGACACTTGCTCCTGGGGAGGAAAGCTATGGCAAATCTAGACAGCATACTAAAAAGCAGAGACATCACCCTGCCAACAAAAGTGTGTATAGGCTGTGGTTTTCCCAGTTGCAATGTATGGCTGTGAAAATTGGACCATAAGAAAGGCTGAGTGCCAAAGAATTGAGGCCTTTGAACTATGGTGCTGCAGAAGACTCCTGCGAGTCCCTTGGAATGCAAGGCGATCAAACTGGTCAGTCCTTGAGGAGATCAACCCTGACTGCTCTTTAGAAGGCCTGATCCTGAAGATGAAAGTCAAATACTTTGGCCACCTAATGAGAAGGAAGGACTCACTGGAGAAGAGCCTAATGCTGGGAATGATTGAGGGCAAAAAAAGAAGGGGACAACAGAGAATGAAGTGACTGGATGGCGTTACTGAAGCAGCAGGCATGAGCTTAAATGGACTCCAGAGGATGGTAGAGGACAGGAAGGCCTGAAGGAACGTTGTCCATGGGGTCGCGATGGGTCGGACACGACTTCACAACTAACAACAACAAAAAACAAAGGTCATACTAAATAAGATAAAATATTAAGAAATGGATCCATAGAGCCTTGCTTGGGCTAAAGGTACAGTACTGTGCAAAAGTGTTAGGCAGTTATGCAGAAAAGCTGTAAATTAAGAATGCTTTTATTAGGAAATAAAGTGTTAATAGTTTATTTTTATCAATTAACGAAATGAAAAGTAAATGAACAGAAGAGAAATCCAAATCAAATCAATATTTGGTGTGATCACCCTTTGCCTTCAAAACAGCATCAATTCTTACACATGCACACTTGCACAAAGTCAGGGATTTTGTAGGATTAGAGTTTGGTGTATGATTAACCAATTATACCAAGCAGGTGCTAATGATAATCAATTACATGTGTAGGTTGAAACAGAGTCGTTAATTGAAATAGAAACAACTGTGTAGGAGCCTTAAAGAACAGCCAGTCTCCTATTAAGATGAGATTGTGGAAGACAGGTGCATGTCACAGGTTATACTATGCCTTCAGCACAGAATTGGTGGAAACCAGTCAGACACAGGTACATCCATCTACTGTCTGGAGAAGTCTGGCCAGAAGTGGTTTTCATGGAAGAATTGCAGCCAAAAAGCCATACCTCTAATGTGGAACAAGGCTAAGTGACTCAACTATGTACGAAAACAGGAACTGGGTTGCAGAAAAATGGCATTAGGTGCTCCAGATTGATGAGTCAAAATTTGAAATATTTGTATCATGGGGCAGTTTGTTTGCTGAAGGGTTGGAGAGTGGTACAATAATGAGTGTCTGCAGGCAACAGTGAAGCATGGTGGAGGTCCCTTGCAAATTTGGGGCTGCATTTCTACAAAAGGAGTTAGAAATTTTGTCGAGATCAATGGTGTCCTCAATGCTGAGAAATACAGGCAGATACGTATCCATCATTCTATACCATCAGGGAGGAATGTGATTGGCCCCAAATTTATTCTGCAGCAGGACAATGGCCCCAAACATACAGCCAATGTCATTAAGAACTAACATCAGCATAAAGAAGAACAAGAAGTCCTGGAAGGGATGGTTTGCCCCAGGGGTGAAATCCAGCAGGTTCTGACAGGTTCTGGAGAACCGGTAGCGGAAATTTTGAGCAGTTTGGAGAACCGGTAGTGGAAAAATTGAGTAGTTCAGAGAACTTGCAAATACCACCTCTGGCTGACCCCAGAGTGGGGTGGGAATGGAGATTTTGCAGTATCCTCCTCCTGCCATGCCCACCAAACCACGCCAACCAAGCCACACCACGCCCACCAAGCCACACCCACAGAACTGGTGGTAAAAAAAAATTGGATTTCACCACTGGTTTGCCCCCCACAGAGCCCTGATCTTAACATCATTGAGTCAGTTTGAGACTATATGAAGAGACAGAAGGATCTGAGGCAGCCTCCATTCACAGAAGATCTGTGGTTAGCTTTCCAAAATGTTTGGAACCACCTTGAAGGAATCTTGCTGAGTTCCTTCAAAAATTGTATGCAAGTGCACCTAGAAGAATTGGTGCTGTTTTGAAGGCAAAGAGTGGTCCCAAATCAAATATTCATTTTGATTTCTCTTCTGTTCATTTACTTTCTATTTTATTAATTGATAAAAATAAAGTATTAACACTTCTATTTCTGAAAGCATTCTTAATTTACAACATTTTTGCACAACTGCTTAACACTTTTGCACAGTACTGATTGTTCCAGACCTGAATAGCACTTGGAAATAATACAGAAAAAAGATTTGATCCACACAGAAGGGTAGACTTAACCTCGATGCAGCTGTTTTAAAGAATTATAGACCAGTGCTACATTTTTACCCTTGTATATTATTAAATTGTTTTAAAAAATTCAAATCTGAAGAAATTACCCAGCTCTATTCTCTTGCTCTTCTTAGAATTTCAGTTTTAAAATATAAGTAAATTCCCTATTTTAATATTAATGCCGTTACAAAATTCTTATTTAAGATTGTTTATTCATCAATTCACATTCAGCTCTCTAAGTTATCTCACACTACTCTAGGCTCACAGTCATTTAAATCCACAATGTAATATCAATTCCTGCTTATAATAAAAACACTATAAATTACAGAAGCAATAAGAAAACAAAGATTTAAGGCAAGCAAGAATTTCATAGGCAAAGGACCAGGGGTGAAATCCAACAGGTTCTGGAGAACCAGTAGTGGAAATTTTGAGTAGTTTGGAGAACCGGTAAATGCCACCTCTGGCATGCCCCAGAGTGAGGTGAATGGAGATTTTGCAGTATCCTTCCCCTGCCACGCCCACCAAGCCACACCCACCAAAGCCATGCCCACCAAGCCACACCCATAGAACCAGTAGTAAAAAAAATTGGATTTCACCACTGCAAAGGACATTGGAATGGAAGTGTCCTTCCCTACAGGGAACAGGCATTTTAGGGAGATGGATCAGCCTAGAGCATTCAGGAGGATTCCCTCCTTCTCCCTGTTTCCATACTGCTGCATAATCAGCAGAATTGTCAGGGAAACATTTTCAACACGGCTGGTGGGGATGCTGGTTTGGGGAGTTCAGATCAGATTTCGCAGTGCACACAGCCCTGTGCTTTGCTGTTCTGCTCTGCATAATGATCAAATTGGGTCTGCAGTCCAAGAGGTCCCAAAATGTTAGTCCGGCTATGAAAAATGGCATCGGCTGTGCTTCCAAGAAGTATTTGTAAGGTTGTAAGGGCTTCCGCCCTATTCCTAACTCTTTATTTTTGTTTCTTTTCTGCTGAGTCAAAGAGAAGGGGAAAGAAAATAAGAGGAAGAAGGCATGTGAATGGTTTAGACTCTAAAGGTGGGTTGCATATATTCCCAGAGTATATAATTCACACTTTAAAAGAAATACTTTTTCTCTTGGGCAACAAGAGGTAACATCTGTCTTGCCTGCAGATTCCTCAGCATGATTACCAATAGCAGGATAATAGACTGCCTGCTTTGCTGGCAATATGAATCCCAACAGGCAAACCTGACATACATGCTGTAGAATTGCAGAATATTAACTACGTTCTGAGAAAAAGTGATAAAACAGAGAGATTACAGCATTATAATTTTATCATTATTCTTACTATTCTTAGCTATCATTTGGTCGCAAGATTTCAGATAGGACAGCAGAAACTAAAGGGCCTGCGATTTAATTAATTAATTATCTGATGTATATGTTGCCCATCTTAACAAGTGACTCTGGGCAGTGAACAGAATTAAAATAAGACAAAACAATTAGAAACATTACAGAAATGCCAAGAAACATCAAACCCAAATCATTAATGCAATCAAGAAATAAGTCCCTGCGCACATACCCCAGGCCCAGAATCATGTTTATTAGTGTTAGAGTACAGATTATTCTGAATTCTACTCTCTGAGATCAATGGTTATTCCTAGTTTCAAGCTTTACAAATATTTTCCAATGATGTATTATATTGGCACCCTTGCTTAAACCTTAACGCTCCCAGAGGGCCTTTGGAAATTGTTTTGTAATTTTTAATTTGCATTTGGTAAATTATGATTATTGTGGATCTGTATCAATATTTTCCCTAGTATTTCATATTATATGAGATGTGGGGTTGAATAGGAGCCTAATTTATTATTGTGAACATTTTATTATAATGTATAGTTATTGTTGTAGGCTACCAGGACTTTAGAAAGTTTCATTGGAATACAAATTTAATAAATAAACAAATAAGAATTTGACCCAGATACCTTACTGTTGCCATGAAAATCTGTATTCTTTTCAGCATTCTGGTGAAGAAAATTACAGCATTTCAGCTTGTTTTTCTTTTATTTTCTTTCTTTCTTTCTTTCTTTCTTTCTTTTCTTTTCTTTTCTTTCTTTTTTTTTTTTTGAAGGCCTCTGGGTTTTTTCCCACATAAAAAGTTATGCCCTAGAAAATTATTGTGTATTGTCACAAAACTTTCAGTCTTTCATTACTTTAATATTTGATCAGGACATGTTGTCATTGGTATGGTATGATGGATAAACCTGCTGGCAATATACAGTAAACATTACACAGAAATTTGATGCGATTTAGAATGAAGATACTCTTTGGATCTAGTATTATAAAAAAAGGGGGCTATGGAATATAGGGCTTGCCATATGCTACTGAACTGTAATTCCATCATCCTTTAACACTGATTAAGATGTTGCACTGTCTACTTCATCTTAGACTCTTCAGAAGGACTGAAGATCAATTCAAATAATGTCATGCCATGAATATGGTTGATGGCTGTGCTAGCTAAGAATGATGAGAAATCTAACACAAATGTATGTAAGAAGATTAGAGAAAGCAGCTGTAATATGCATTCAGTTATTAGGAGAATGAATTGTTATCCTATTGTACCAAGTGACAATAGGATATAATCCCTTGTTTTTAAGTTTTTAGCAGCTTATTAATCAATTGGGCTTGCTACAATTGTTGATTAGCTATGGTCATGACAGAGGCTAGAATTTTTTTTTTCCTTTTGGAGAAAGAGGAATCCACTTTGTTTTATAGTGACTAGCATGCAACAACTTTGGGGGGCATTGCTGCTATTTCCCTTTGGATACAATTTTAAGCATAATTTCTTTCCATTCATTTCCTGTTTTCATACAACATATCCAGTCTCATCTTGGCTACCACTTATCTCTTTAAGTAAGCAGATATTTCACCATCCTCCTTCTTCCCTCCCCACTCCATTCTCTTTGCACAATGCAACTGATGCAATGAAAGTTGTTCGTGAAGCTTCCTATTGCTTGAGGAAGTGGGAGCTCCAAACAAAGTGTTGGGCAGACTGAGAATAATGTTGTTTGTTTGATTCTTTTGCATAATTTGTTTTGCTGGTAGTCACTGAGAGGAGCCAAGCAATTACAAAGGGCTCTGAAGCTGCCTTGCTTTGAACATCAGTTATGTACTTGGCTCCTTTCCTCTCCACTCACAGGCAACTCTGTTCTGACATTTACTGTATCTAAGCTAAGTTCATAAGCCTGTGTTTATATATTCAATATATATAAGTTTCCATTCTTAAGATGAAAAAAATATCCTAGAAAAATACCTTTCTACTCTTCTCATCTTTCCTATTACCTTCTCCTATCGGTATCTTATGATTTATTACTTGTTGTTTGTATCTTTTGATTTATGATCTATGATTTACCAACTTGTTTTTGTATGCACACTGAGAGCTTATGCACTTGAAATAAATTCCTTGTGTATCCAATCACACTTGGCCAAAAAAGAATATTGCTCTTCCTATTCCTACGAAAGCTGAAATTCTGAGAGAAATTATTTGAAATTCAGTTGAGGAACAGAGACAATTGTTTTTTCAGCCTCCAATGTGACCTCAGATAATCCACATTATATGACATCATAATGCTGTGATGGTCATAAAGAGTTATTATTGGCTCCAGTTCAATTGTCAGAGGTTGTATATATTGTATTTCATTGCTACTTAACTCCAGCCTTTACCTTTTTTCTTTATAGCTCCACGGGTACCAGATAAATAAGGAATTACATTTTATCCATCTCATAATACATGAAAATTATGCCAGTCTTTCACATCTTGATACTTTACATAGATGTCAGATTATAACTCCTAACATCTCTCATCAGGACAGAAAGAATTAGGCTGAAGGAGGCTGCCTAAATGTCATCACACAATGTATTAATCTTTACAGTGTCACAATATTCTTTCTTTTTAATATAATGTATTAAAATGAGAGAAACGGACAGTTTAGAAATATGAAATATAAATAAATAAATAAACTGTCCAGTGACCTGCAGGAACATAAATAGAACCAAAAGCAATTACAATCTCAAAACATATCTGAAAAGGAATTATTATTAAAAGTTAAGCTTTACAAAAACAGTGAAGTACCCAGTATATTTCAACTGGTGAGATGCTTTTTCAAAGTAACCCATTTCAACATAATTTAATCTTCTGAAAGAGTAGAACTTTCATCCAATCACTCTAAAGCAGGGGTGTCAAACTTGATTTCATTGAGTTCAATGAAGGTTGAACTCAAGGTTGTGTTTGACCTTGGGGGACCAAGGTGGGTTTGGCTAGGGGGCATGGCCAGCATGATGTCACTCAGGTTGGGGGTGCCTGTGGCGGCCCGAGTGCTCTACCTGGGAAAACAGGTTCCTGGGCCCCGTTTTCAGCTGTGACTGCCTCCTGCAGCCCTCTGCCAGTGAAAACGGAGCTCTGTTTTTGCTAGCAGATAGCTGCAGGATGTTGTCACAGCCAAAAAAGCCTGGAACAGCTGTGCGCAGCCCTCCCAAGCCTCGTTTTCTCTGGCAGAGGCACCGCAGGCTGGTACTTTCCTGTTTCCAAGATGGCCCCACAGGCCAGATCTAAGCACCCCATGGGCTGCGTTTGGCCCGCGGGCCTTGAGTTTGAGTCTAAAGGATGTTTTTTCCAACTATATATTGGACATTTTACAGCTTCAGAAGGACTATATTTTGATAGGGATTCATTTACCAGAACCATTCAAAGGTTAAACCATTTTGTTTCTAATGCAATTACACAAGAGCTCTGATTACACTATGCTTGATTAAAACTGACACCAGCTCCCAAGAGTTACAGTATTGATACAAGTTACACGTTTTACTTCTAACTGGTCTTCAATTACAGTATTCCTATATATAGAGTAACAGTTATCTTCTTCTAACTTCTATAAGCTGCTTTGTTTTTCAGGAAGCCAGTAGTGAGATCCAACATTTAGATTTACAATGTGCTTCTTTCTGCTACTCAGCCTAAGATAGTGAATACAATTTAAAGTCCCAGATTTAGAATTTGCTAAAATGCCTCTTTTCCTGCCTTTACAGTTCTACTTTGGTCCTTGGAAGGTTTATTTACCCAATCTGGTGCCCTCTAGGCATATTGGATCAGATCCTATAAAGATGGATAGATGGGAAGACTGCTCTAGAACACAATATCAGGTGTGAAGTCTTTCTCTCAGTCCCATTAGGCTGGGGCACTGAGAGCTTTATAGCTCATACCTTGAAGCACTAACTGGCAAACTGGTTCTATTGGACATACATACATTATTTGCATCACAGGTCCAGATATGTATTGAGTGCAGCTCCCTTCAAATAAGTGAATGAGCTGGATGGATAAGTATACTATACTGACAATACAGTTCCCACCTCATGTCTTATTCCAGTGATGGCTAACCTTTTTGCTGTCACGTGCCAAAAGTGGGGGGAATGCGGGGGGAATGCATGTGTGCCCACACCCAAAATTTAATGTGCCCTGTCCCCCTGCACATGTGTGATTCCCCCCCCCCGCGCTCTCCCTGCTTTTGGCACGGTGGGCCCGGTAGGCCCATTTTTTGCCTGCCCCAGGTTCCAGAGGCTTTCTAGGAGCCTGGGGAGGGTGAAAACTGCCTTCCCCATCCCCCCGAAGGCCCTCTGGAGGCTGGAAACAGCCTGTTTCCTGATTTCCAGTGGGCCCGGAAGGGCCGAAAATCAGGTGGCCGGGCATGCATGTATGTTGGAGCTGAGCTAGGGCAACACTCGCGTGCCCACAGATACGGCTCCGTGTGCCACCTGTGGCACCCGTGCCATAGGTTCGCCATCACGGTCTTATTCCAAAGATTATTTCTTTCATTTAATTTAAGCTCAAACTCTAGTGATATGTAAAGCCTTATTTCCAGACAGTTAGTCTCTTGCCAAGAGTTGTTACTTATTCCCCAAAGCCTCGCATCTCAAATGCTGCATTGATACTATGCATCTATTAAGCCTATTTTCAAACAGGTAAATATGTCACAGGTTGCCCTGGTCTTTTCCATTCTTAAATGGTCACAAGCTGGACAACTGTAATTAGTAACAATGTAAAATAACTATTCCTTCTAAGGGACATATTTCTTCATGGCATATTTTTATCCTAATATTTTTCTGGTGCATTTCATTAATACTCTTATTATATCCATCCTGTGAAGAACATTCACCTAAGAGATTATAAAATTATTCAACCTTATTTGATAAGCTTCCCATTTGAATTAAGATGTGAAGGCAAGGAGGAGTATTTTGGTGGAAACAGAGAAAGTTATAATGGGAGATGGAGTTCTCAGGGAAGGGGAATTTGGTATCTTATACTTATCCCTCTCTTCTAGCCCACTGTGCTCATTCCCGGATCCAGGTCACTGGATTCTCATGGCAATTCCTGCTTAACATCAGGTCTGCCTGTAACAAATCTTTATCCATCCATGATCTTATCCTGGAAGGGTGGACAAACCCAGTGTCCATCATTGAAACTGTATTAATGATGCTTATGGATGATCTCTGGCAAGACTCCAGAGAGTGGGACTGCTCTCCTGATTTTATTTAATTTGTCAGCAGCTTCTGATAGCATTAATACTGGTAACTATCTAAACTGGAAGCCTTGTATTGCACTGGATCTCCATCTGCCCCTTTTTCTGGGTGGTCTTTTAATTGGGGGAAATAGATTGAGCCTGAGGTCCTTGCCACGTGTGGTCACACAGGCTCAATGCTCTCTCCACTCTCTCCACTCCCAGGCAAGGTTATCCAGTCACATATCTTTTGTTTTTGTTTTGTTCTTTCTCAATGTGCAGATGGTTATCATTGTTTATTGTTATTATCAGAGGTGGGTTCTACTTACCTTTACTACCAGTTCGCAACAGGGCCACGCGTGTGCAAGCGCAGAAGCATTTCGATGATATTGGGGTAAGAGCCTCCCTAGTAAAACCGGTTTTACTACCGGTTCTATAGAACCGGTGCGAACCGGGGGCAACCACCATTATGTTGAGAGTTATAATGCTATTATGTAATGCTATTATGTAAGCTGCCTGGAATTGCCCTTGATTGAGACAGCATACAAGTTCATTAATTAAACAAATACATCTGTAATAAATATTTGCAACTCTTTTACCTGTTGAAGATCATTAGGACATTCCATTGTTACCTCACTCCTCTTTTATTTTTATAATTCATCTTCTCCTTTGGTGCCATATTGAAATTTGAAGAGCAAAACATGTGTACTGTACAGGTATTGTCATGCACAGAAATATTTGTGGTATTTTAATATTTTTAGTAATGAAAGATATTTGTAGGACAGAGTTGCTAATTTAAAACTTTCACTGACATAAGGCTAAAAAACATAGGCATTGAAAAAAACTGAGATTATATCAAAAGGCTGGCATGTACTGTATGGTACAATTATGAGAAAATTCCCTTATATACCTGTGCCCCAGCAAAAAATGCAAATATATATAAGGTTTTGCTGCCTGTTTCATCATGCCCCCCTCCTCCCACCATGGCTGTAACTGTGTATTATTCACTCCTTAGGGTTTAATATAGATATATTTTGCTTTGGGAGTCAGCAAGATGTGTTAATTCATATATTATAGAACAGGGGTGTCAAACTCGATTTCATTGAGGGCTTCATCAGGGTCGTGTTTGAACTCAGGGGGCCAGGGTGGGCATGACCAGGGTGGGTGTGGCCAGGTCAACATCACTCCTGTTGGGGGTGCCTGTGGTGGCCTGTGTTCTGCCAGCAAAAACAGGCTCGTCAGCTCCATTTTTGGCTGCCACAGCCTCCTGCATCCTTCTGCCAGTGAAAACAGAACTCAGGAGACCCGCACACCGTTTTCACTGGCAAAGGGTTGCAGGAAGCCAGCAGCTGAAAATGGAGCTCGGGAGCCCAATTTCGCTGGCAGAATCATTACAGGCCAATCCTTCACTGTTTCCAGGGTGGTGCCACGGGTAGATCTAAGTACCCCAGGGGGCGGATCCAGCCCCCGGGCCTTGAGTTTGACACCCCTGTTATAGAAAGTACATTCTTGTAAAGTGCTTTGTTCTGATTTCACAGTGTTTAATAGAAGTATATCAAATTTCTTGCAATTTTTTTTTTATATTAACAAACTTGGAAAAAAATTGTTTTGTTTAATTGCTCATGAAATAATGCAGGGAGGTATAATGAAGGGGAAATGAAATAGAAATTGGTATCAAATGGAAGAGTTGGCAAGTTGGTAAGAAGTCAGGTTCTTATCTCCGTGTTAGTGTAGTTCAGTTGTTTTTTACAAATAAACAAAGACTCTGTCCATAATCAAGGTCTGGTATTCTAGCAAAACAATGCCTTCCATATGTACTGGATTCTATCTTAATTCATTCCCAGCCATGCAGGTTCAACAGGCATCATTGCAATGGAACAATTCAGTGTACCATGACATTTTTTTTTTTTTTTTACAATTTGGTATCCCTAAAGCTTCAGTTAATGAGGCTATGATTAGACTATTATAGTCTAGCAAATAACTTACAGTATTTTGTTTTCTGCCAGGAAAACTGCCAGG